GGGTATCTATTAAAGGATTCTCCAAAGGCTGTTCGCCTGTCGATACGAGTTCCTGTTAAGAAAAATAATAACATCATCGATTCATAAGGCAATGCCAGTACTAATCTGAATCATGTTGTCACGTCCACTGTTACATGTGTCTATTTGGGGAGGGTGGTGCCAAGTCTCTGCTGGAGATCGCTATGATCGATGTGGTCGCTACAATTGCCGTGGCGTAACAGATTAGATAAAGTGACCTTACTAAAAGCTCCGTTGAAAACATAGTACACTGTATCTTCACCTGACTTCAGAATACAAGCACTTCTGGCCAGCCTAGGGCTAGGGTTGCCCGCGCCTCGTCACCTTGTGCGTGCTAATTATGTGTGATGGGCCGTATCGAGTTTAGCAAAGCTTAGGAAATGTCAATGCCAAAACCGCTTAGCCAGCATTTCGGACATAGTGCACGACTTCACTGCCACAGCTGTACGCTTGCAGAGCTGGCCCTATTCTGTATTCATGGTTAGAGCCGAGCTGTTGCATGACAATACGCTCTGTTGACCTTCTCTGTAGTAAGTGTTATAGAAATACTTAGAAAAAGTGGAGTAAGAAAGTACAGGAAGACAATGCACATCACAGCGATACTGCAATGTACCATCATCATTATACGACTAAACTGCTCGGAGTCCCGATGTTGGTGGTTGCCTGAGAAGCCGTTCAAACGACGTCTACGTCTAGCTGTGGTGATCACCAGCATGAAGGCTGATCGAGGTCGGCCGCATAGGCTTTAGCAGTGCTGTAACTGCTGATGCTGGGCGAGCTGTACAGAACAAGGCAACCAGGCCGGCAAATGGGCTTGTCGCTCGGGAGCCGAGGTCTTTCTGAACGGAGGTGAAGGCGCGTGGTGAGCGGTGTCAGAGCAACTCGCCAGACCTCTGCGCGCGCGCATTGTGTGTGTGTGTGTGTGTCCTCACCTTTCGCAGCTTTGCGAGGTACAGAGTACAACGTCGTGCCATTGACCTCTACAAGCGGCAAAGAGCTGCTAGCTGCAACCTTCCAACTAACGTTTTCCCCGCTGTAACCTAAAGATCCGTGCACAGTAGCTGTGCGCAATTGTAGTACATAGAATAGCTGTCGTGTAGCTAACTGGTGTACTGGTAAGCTGCTGATCCTGTGAAGTACCGGTAGTACTGATAGAGTAGAGGGATAGTGAAACCACATCTCCAGCATTCTAACAAGTGCTGTGCAGTCATTCTGATTAGCCAGGATCGTACAACTGCAAAGCTTAGAGCTAGACAAGGACTCCTTGACTGGAGAAAGCACAGCTAACGCTAACGTGTGGATTTAATGTATGTGTGTTGCGTTTCTCCGTCTTCATCCCGCTTGTAAAGCTACTACTGAGGATTTCAAGTAATTTCTACGAGCTAGAATTGACCAAAGTCCGTGTAGATCGTGTGTTACATGAAGCTCCGGCTGGGTCACACAATCTCGAGCGGTTGGTCACACATACTCCGTGACAAGGGATGGGGCTGTGCATAATCTACAGGATTGAAAACTCAGCACACGCGTTTGTTGCCTTGTGAGGCGACGGTGATAAGGAAAAGCGGTCGGGATGTGCGTATTGGACGAGGGCCAACTACTTGTTAGCCCGTGAGCGATCCTGCGCTGGTTAGCTATCAGCTGATTCCTTGCTGTCCCTGCTCAGCCATCCTGCAGGACGCGTCGACGCTGCTACCCACCAGGGTTTCTTCTCAACCTCACTCTCCACGCGTGTCTCACAGAATGTGACAACCTACACGGAAACAGGGAACTAACGTTCAGCAGCAGACTATAGAAGCTAGGGCCAGGGCAGCTGGGACCCCGACTGCCACGTAGATTCTACGTGCTAACGAGGAATCGGACCAGAGGCAGAGAGAAGAGAAAGAGGACGACCACAGGTTGGGAGCAAAGCGTGATCCGAACTCAGAGGCAGAGGCAGATCACGGTACGTGTAAGTTCGTTCGTTCTTGGTCCAGATTAGTATTGTGGGCGTGCTGCTGGCCAATCGGTCATCGGTCATCGTTCACGCTTGAGCACAGGCACTTTCGGTCGCTACACAACTGAACTGACGGCTTGCCGTTAGTGTTTCTCGTGCTGCGCTGCAAAGCGAGAATGAAGTGGCTAAGGCCGACCTGTTTACGTCCGCAGCTACCACCTGGAGAGCGCAAAGACTTCTATGAAGGTATGTAGGTGTTGTTCAGTGCAAATCTTGTCCTGATCTTGCTCTGCTCATTCTGCTTCAACTAACGTACATTGTACTGGTGTGCAGCAGCAGGTCGGTGTAACGACGTGTATCTCACTGCTAGCATTCTCCTAAACAGAAACACCCTATCAGACACTGGACGGATTGATGGAGAGGGTAGTGGTGTTTTTCCTTCACCCCCCTCCTCTTCCAATGTTCATCTAGTAATAGTACCTTTAGTCTTTAGGTTTTGTCAATCAGCTGGTTTGGTGCTCGGGGTTGTCAACTCGTTTTCGTCTGTGACAGTGTACGACTCGTATGTACATGTATGCCGTGGCGGGTATGCAAGAATAGTTTAGACGCTTGTTTGCGCGCGATGATAAACGTCTGGCGCACCGTCCGCCCACAATGTGTGCACTCACACTGGGCGCGTGATGATGAAGATCATCGTCTGGAAATCGCCCCTTTTGTGGCAGTCTTCTGCAACTTTCTTTGCATACGTAGATCTACGTCCGTGAGCGACGGAGCAGCGCTTGACCTGATGATCGGTCACGGCCGAGGCTTGTTTTGCCAGCTGTTGCTCGCCCATATCTATCGTCGATCTCATCTGACGAACAGCCCCGACTTCTGTTTGATTCGTCTGCGATATGGGCAGGTGTTAAATCGATCGGGTTGAAAGCGGTCCGATCTATTGGTTGAACTAACTTGGACACACGGTGCTGTAGGGAAGGCGTCCCCAATGCCCAGTAGGCAGTAGGCGGCTAGGCCCATGCCCAGGCCATGGACATCAGTCCTTCCTGGCGTCCTGCATGTCGCCGACACCTACATTGTACATGTGCATTACAGCTTCTCGACGTCAACATAATAATTTTACCACGGTGTAGTACAGAGTGATCATGGTGATGTACCGCGCGGTCCATGCCGTGGCGTACTGAACTGCACTGCAGACTATCATTTTTGATGAGGACAGCTATCATGTGACCGTATTATAAGGCAGTATTGCCTATGGTCCCTATGAAAAACATTATGAGCTGTGAGGCTATGGTCATAATGTTTGAGTGATCTGGTGAGAGGCATCACAGTCAGTCCATGTACATGTACATGGACTGACTGTGCACTTCCAATACTAGTACACTGTACAGTATGCATGGTGATATGACGAGGCCTCGAGGATTGGGAGCTTGAGATCAAACCTAACCTACATGATTGTATCTACATGTAAGCTGTCATGATGACCAGGCACTTCCCGTAGAAAAACTCTCAAACTCAAAGAACTTGAAAAAGGCGTTTCATCCTCTACAATGTAGGGGATGAAACGCCTTTTTCAAGTTCTTTTTTGTAGCTTTCCTGGTTCTACAGTGCTTGTACTTCGAAGTAATATTATTGACTTTTCCCATTTGTGTCTTTCCCTCAAACTAGTCAATATTTTAATATAATCTTTATTTCAGGATTACCCAAAGGCTGACGCCTATCCTACCTCTGTATATACAATAAACATTGGAGTTGGGAAAAGGGAAAATGTGCAAAATGAGTTCGGAAAAGGATAGATGCTGTACAAAAGATACAGTGAAAGGACAATTACAAGCACTTGAAGCAGTGTAAATCAATGATTTTAGTTCTAGTACGAGTACAATCAGTCATGTACTTCTACTGTACACTGCATGCAGGGAGTCACGACTCCCTGCATGCATGCAGTGCACTGTTGATCAGATTTTACCTTTTACATCGTCCACGTGACACGTGTCACATTCTTAGGTGCGTGACGGTGTGACGGTGTCTGCCGTGGGAAGAAAGTCGGCAAAAATGAAATGTGCAGACCGAAGCATGTCAGCCCACTCTTTCAGTAGTTTAATATTTGGTTTCTCTGCCCATGTGGAGGCCAATGGGTCACAAGATGGTCAGGAAATACTTCCGAAGCAATGCTGGGCTGGTTTTACATGGTTTATGATTGAATCGCAACAATCCTTCTTACCATTGTATAAACGTTCACTGAAATAAAGCACAATGTTTAAAAAAATGTCCCCAGACGATGGGTGAAGCTCAAGTAACGGCGGTGAAGTCCCGTAATTGCAGCACTTGTGGTGCCTGTGTGTCTGAAATCGAACTGACTGACTGCCTTGGTCGGAAGTCAGCAGGAGCACCTATCTGACGGTCTTGTACTTGGGAGTGCCGAAGCGTTCGATGTCCCAATGCTAGCTAGCGCCCCCATGCCGTGGACAGGCCGCTGCCGGCTCATTCTGCCCTCGGTGGTGGTCAGTGGTCATAGAGCCACACCGTCATAAAGTGAGTGAGTGAGTAGTAATTGGTCATGGCCGAGAAGCAGAGGATTGCCACGTTTGGACGATCTAGTACATGCGCCAGTAGCCTCTACTCGTAGTCCATCTACTCGGTAGATCTGCTCTAGCGCTCAGCCAGTCTTCATGGTCTTGGGATCATGGATTCATGGTGATGGAATACCATGAATACGGGTACATGATTGTACTTCCATTCCCCTACTCCGTGGACTGACTTTTTTTACTGTTGGCTGAGCCTAGCCGGACTCTGAGCCTGAGTCTGAGACAGTGACTCTGTGAGAGGAAGTGAGGGCCTACTGCATGTCTATGACCATGATGATGATTGTAGTGTCCCTCGCTCTAGCAACACCATGCATGAACCATGACTGACTCATGACTGTGAGTGTGAACACCACGACCGCTGGGCCACAGCAGTGACAGCACTACAAGTCTACATCCACGTGTGTACGCCTGCATACCTCCCCACACCTGGCCTGAGCTACTGTCGTAGATCTACTGAGTTCGTTACCAGAGTATGACTCGAAAATAATGTAACGAGAATGGTTGGTTAGTCGATGTAGAAAGTTAGTTATCAATACTGCTGTTTTAGTCATGATAGCTTCAACTGCTTGCATAGCGGGTTGCGTAGGTGAGAGGTGATGTTCGCAGCTCAGGTCAGGTTGTTCAGAACTTGTTCAGAGTCGGCTACTTCACATCGAGGCGTCGCCTGGTCTTGACTTGTCCTAGCCCGGCCAAATCTTTTTCACTGCTTCGGTAGCTGCAACCAATGCTGCAATCTTCAGTACATTTCCAACCCAATTTCGCTCTGCTAGCACCGACCCGTGAGCATGGTGAGTGCCAGTGGCGGAAACAGAAATCTGAGGAAACGTCCCGCTGGACCATCGCAAGTCATCGGCAGTCGATTTTCATATCCGCTAGTTTCGCCTACACGGAGCAGATGCACTGATCCGACGGTACATCTCTATCTACGCTGTAGTCTGGTAGTAGTGTGACCGGGCAGTGGTGACAGATCAGTGCCCAATGACTGCGTGGTAAAATAACTCATCACCTGCGAATATCAGAATATGGCACATGCACAGCTCTTTATCACGCTCATGTGACCACTGTGAGTGGTGCGTACTATGACAGGACTCGACTTGACCCTCGTCCCTCGATGGTCGTCACAACCTCCAGCCAGCTCCCACTTTTACTACTATACAGTCAGTTCTGGATAGGGCTAGCACTTACGCAAGTAATAGTTACGGGAGCTCCGCACCTGAATATTCTTTCCATCTCCGAAAAAGAGAGCGGAACGGACAGATAAGCTCCTTGCTTTCTGCTCTAGGTGGTCTTTGTACGAGGTTTCTAGGAGAGCCTGCTAGCGCCTCGATTCGGCTGCTTGGCGCTTGGTGCCTGAAAATAGCTTCAAGGTGCTAAAAGTAAAGGCTCGTTGCTGCTGTGTTCATGGTGTTGGACAAGGGGAATCTGGGCAGAGGAGTGTGATCCCTCAGCTGACAGAAGTGTTACACCTTGTGATCATCTGATCAAGTACCCAGTTAGTGCGTGTTGCTGTCGAGCGCGCACTGCGGTGTGCATATGCGTCCCTGATTCTGCCCTGACTACTGCGGCCTGGTCAAGACTCAAGGCCAAGGGGAGAGACGTGTGTACGTGTAGTGGCTGTCATTGTGGGTTGTACTTTGTAGTACTGTGCTCCCTGGCGTGATGGTGGTGTGACCCTGTGTTACGGCTACAAGACCAAAAAAACCACGGGCGGAAGGTGTGAGACGCGAGCTGTGACTGGACTGTGTGTGGAACATAACGATCTACACGACCTGAACACGCTCACTACGCCTCTACGGCTGGAGTTGCACTGAGTTTGTTCGTGCAGAGTATGTCCACAGAGTCCATGGTCAGGTCTCCAGATAGCAGTGGCAGCTCCAGGCCAGCTGGTGGAGGTCTGCGGAGGAGCAATGGCATGCCTCGATGGGAGAACGAAGCGCGTCATCTGCTCTTCCAGAAAGGTTTGTGTTCGCACCGTGCATCACCTCTAGACTCTAGTTTTACGTTGTCGATCGTCGACGCTGGTGTTGTTGTTTTGTAAGGAAATAGATTTAGAACCACCGAGATAGCTCAGAACGAAAATGGAAACGAAAATCGAAAAGTACGTGTACGGAAGAATGCCCCAAAGTCGTGTATGTGTGACCCTCGATTCCTGGTGTCATCATCGATAGCTAGCGCTTTCTGTATGTTTGGTGCATAGCTATGTATACACTCTATTGTTGTATATGGGTGCATGCATGTAACATTTACCTGGCCTTCCCTAGCCCTGGACCATGGCATGGACGTGGATATAATCCACTTCGATAATTATTATCGATAAACTCACCGTTGGGAATGTTTCAAGCCCATTTTATTGCCCCTTGGCTATGACTATGTTGGCCAAGCAGCAAATGACTATCAGTATGTAACCAGCGTCGTTTGAGATGACACCTTTTCTAAACAGCGAATAATCCCTCGTGCAAGAATGGCCTCGTACGATAAGCTACACTGACTGTATGTGTCACAGTTCGGCTATGGCTTGCTTCTCGCCAGTCATCACACATCAGGTCATTGCTGATGTGATTTGGAAGTCTACTAATGATGTCCCTATGACTGTGTGCCACAGTGTGGTCAGCAGCATGCATGGATCTAGTCTACGAGCCCGGAGGAAACTGCACTGCAGATGAGGCTTGTCACCTGTTACTGTACCGTGTACGGTGCTCACGGGTCGTGCGACGTAACACTTGGAATCAACGACTGATACTAGTGATAGCGATCAGCGTTTGCTATGTTTGTGTAACATATACTGTAGTAGTAGTGTAGGTGATCTCAGCCCTACTAGTACTAGGTCGTGCCATTACTGCATTAGTGAATACCTAGTCAGCTTAGACTTGCGTCAATGGATTGTACTACATTGTAGGTGTGATTGGCTGAGCATGCATGTGCACTGTCAAGCACATGCCCGCATTTTGGACATTCAGTGAATCTTCGATATTGGTCTGAAGTCGATTGTGGGCATGGGGGAGGCAAGCCTAGCTTCCCAATCTCAGTTTTTTGGGGTTTTCTTCTGTGCTGACATAACTTTGATATGCCACCACAGCAGCAAACCAGTTACCTGGTATGATTGCACTGCCAGGCTGTGTAGCCTTAGCCGTAGACACTGCTTAGTAGTGCATGCGATTGCTGCAGTTATCAGTATCACATCATGTATCAAAGGAAAGATTAAGGATAGTTCAGTGCGGTTCAGCTGTTGGCTCTTGTATCATGGCATTATGCCTTCATGGCTTGTAGCAAAGACATTGTGTGTGTAGTTTAGGTTCAATGATTACAGTTTGTAATGGGTAACGTTATTATTACTATTGTACGTATTGGCTTTGTTCTGTAAACTGATGACAACCAAATCAAGTTCTACACATGTCGTTGCACAGTCTATGCATTGCTGCTAGCTCTGGTGTGCCGTAGCCCCAGGTATTCCAGTTTCAAGTGTGAGATGAACAAGGTACTGGATGGTGTAGTGTTAGTACTGACCGAGATCAGCGTGATGGATTGCGACCTGAAACTGTAATGAAATCTACAGAGGCCAAGGCACACGACTAACTACACACTAGTCAATACGGAGAGGTACACAGAGTCACACACGGCTAGAGTCACACGGAGAGGTACACAGAGTCACACGGCTGCAATCACCATAGGTGGAGGTCGGCTGGTGTAGCCACTAGCAGTAGCATCTAACAATATGAAGCCAGTCTGTAGCACTAGGGCCTTGTCACTACAAGTCAGCTACTACTAGGAGTTGTTATCAGTAGTTAGCCAAACAGCACCTTGCGTGCATTGTTACTGATATTACACTACATGACTACCTTCCTGAGATGCAGAACTATGATGACTAGTGCTGTGCGGAGACTTGTCTTGGGACAGCTAGAGATTAAGCACATCTGATGGTTCCGTGACAGAAGCTCTGCTCTCTGTGTAGCTAGACATAGAGCATCACCGATATTCCCTGCATTGCCTGTAGGGAATATCTCGGCACTGAATCCTCTTGGGCGCTGCCAAATTTAACATTCATTTGAATGTGTAGCACAATAAATCAGTAATTAGGTGTCATAAGGTCCAATATCATGTGTGAGTTGAAATGGTAGCATCCATACACGCGCGCACACACACACACACACACACACACACACACACACACACGCACACACCACCCGTCTAGCATTCACTTGTGCACTTGGAATTGCCCCTTGCCCTAGATGATGTCTACTGATATTCCATACAGTACAGCCTCTGCAAATCACTTTAAAAGTTCAGAGACATTCAGTTCTGCAGCCCTGTTAGAGTGCGATTCTATATGCAGCGCACAACATCTACGAGATGATGCGTACAACATCTGCCTCATCTTATCATTTTCTGTGTTGCTGTGTACATGTGTGTATGTGTGTATGTGTGTATGTATGTGTGTATGTGTGTATGTCTGTATGCATATGCGGTGGTTGTACTTCCTTTTGCACTGTAGCCCCAAGGATAGCCTCGCTTTCTCAACAACTATCAACAGGAAGCGGTCTCGGTGAAGCCACCACAGCTCCGAAGAATTTGGCACGGCACCATTCCGCAAATGAGCACGACTTGCTGAGCGGAACAACGAGTTTCAAGCACACCCAGTATTCGGTGAATCGGTCGCGGAGAAATGGGTTAGTTGAAGCGAGAACAGTAGGACATCCAATGGGCTTATAGTGCTGTCTCCCTGCACTGTATTCAGCATAGCTTATAGTGCTGTCTCCCTGCACTGTATTCAGCATAGCTTATAGTGCTGTCTCCCTGCACTGTATTCAGCATAGCTTATAGTGCTGTCTCCCTGCACTGTATTCAGCATAGCTTATAGTGCTGTCTCCCTGCACTGTATTCAGCATAGCCGACAAACATATTTAAAAAATACTCACAATGCACTCTGGTGTCCAAGGTTAGTATACTGGTTTACATACAGACTGATACTGAGATTAGTGAGATGACAAGGAGATGACAAGGAGAGGTAGCCGTGAGTACAAGTACCACTTGAACTCTCTGATGCTTTTAAAACAATCAAGTTCAAGGTAGATACATGTCACACAATGCCCGCCTTCTACCGAGCAACATACCTGTTCAAGCTGGTGTCTGTTGCATTCAGCAGTGCATGCGTATATATTTAGCCTTTGCACGTCTATTTTTGTGACTAAATTCGCCCCTTGTATTGATCTTTGACAGGTGGTGGGATCGATATGATCTGCAATATTCCAATTAACCATCAATTGCTCTGCTGGAAACGACCCCAAACAGACTCCTGCTTCATTTTCGATATCTGTTGTGTTTGTGTGATCGTAAGCACAGTTTAATGCTGTAGATACTAGCAGGCTGTAAGTTTTGCTTTTTCTCCTATATGTTGTTTTTCTGCAGACTGAACTCACCGGTCACCACGTCTGACCATGATGGTAGAAAGGCAGGTGAGTAGGTTCTCTGTAATCAATACTGGTTGGAAAGAGTGCAGCAATGCACGAAGCCCTGGCCACCATTGACATCACTACTGGTCACAGTTGTGTGGGCTTGTGCAAACACAGCCTCTTGGCGGCAAACCATGAACTTTGGAAAGAAATGTAGTAGCTGGCCCATCAAATAATGCTACTCCCACAGAAACAAGCGATTATTGTGAGCACATTCTCTTCCCGTGTAGGTTGCATCAAGACAAGTAAACTCATACCTGTGATCACACGGGCATCAGGCTAATGTCGCAACTTTGCCTTCCAGGTACTTCATATGGCAAGTCGCACGGAAGTTGTCTCCAGGAGAATGACTTAAACCGGAGGGGAGAATGCCTCCAGGATGGCCTGGAGAAATGTTTCGTTTTGTAACACTTAGTACTACAGTGTAGTAACGCTATCCTGTGTAGTGCAGTGCAACCACAGCACTTCCCGGCAGCGGCAGTGGCAGTGGCTATTTTGGCTATTTTGCTCAATAACACCCTGACAAGGATATAATGTTGTAGCTGAATTAGCTAATCCTGCACCAGAGGAAGTGGCATGAATTACATTGCAATTAGAATTATCCGTTGATGTCACTCATAGCAATAGGTCATGTACATCCTGATCGACTTTCCTGAACGGCTGATGTAAAACTGTGATATCGATCAGTTTCCTCGGAGACAAAAATGCAATAGCACTGAGAAAATGGACGCACTTCTGGCTTTTCAACATCATCTTGAAAGTGTTCACTAGTATACTTGAAGAACCTGAAGTGTGTCCTTTTGGTGTGCAAGAATGGACTCGGATGGAGAGCCAAAAATAAATTTATAGAAAAGAAAAAAGGACCAAGTTGTTAGTTGTAGAACATCAGTACCGTTGGTCAGTGTCGTGCAATGTTATCGCATGAACTGATTGTTTAGTGACTGGTGGTGTTAGTGGACATTATAGGGTAGCTTGTAGTTCCTTGGTCCTTTTTATTTTCTATAAATGTGTCCTTTTTCTCAATGTCACTGTGATATTGATAATGCTGCTTTCACATTGAATGTGTGACGTGCAGCAGCGGCAGCAACAGCATCCACCACCATGCCAGCTACAAAGAAGCACCAGATATCCTATGTTGAGCTGGTGCGGCAGAAAGGAGAGGCGCTCGGTATCATCATATCTGGTCAGTACTATAGTATTTTGATACGGAAGTCACTTTCAAGTTCTATCATCCACCCCCTCTCGAAATTTGTAGTCCCTCGTCAGGATTCGCGGCCGGCCAGTTTTAGAGCTGAACGAATGCTGTTTCAAGCCGAGGAAGATCCGGGGCCGAGTTTGCTCCCGCAAAGTGTCTCTTGACATAGGAAATGTGCCTTACTGTGTGTAAAGGATTTCAAATATGGACTAGATGTACATGTCTTGTTTGGCTATTTCTCCCAAAGTCCTGCACAGTTTGAGCAGGGTGGTATGGACCAGGTAAGGTTAGTCATTGTAGCATGTTCCAGTACTGATCAGCTATGCAATAGTCTAATGAGTAGATACAAGTATTCTGCTGCTACATGTATGTGGTCAAGGAACAACCAGACATCATGTTGCTGTTGTATACTTACCATATGCAGGTGGGTCTGATCGCAATCAACCTGTCACCATCACACATCTGAAGGGGGGAAGCATCGCCAAAAGGTAAATTGCAAGCATGCGCGTGAGCGTGCGCTCTCTCTCTCTCTCTCTCTCACACACACACACACACACACACACGCGTGCCGTGTGTACGTGGTATTGGTGCATGCGCGTGTTGCTGTGGTGTGAAAAACAGTCTTCGTCTTGAGTTCGTCATGTCGAGTTGTGTTTCCGTCATCTTGTCACAAACAATATAGTCTTTCAAATGTAGTTATCGTCGTCCATTGTACAAGTGTGGAGATGGCACGGGGCTGGGAGCAGGTGAGGAAAGTCAAATACAACTCTTGCACTGGTGTTCCCGGTTGTTTTAGGAATTTTCAATAGGATCGGCACGAAAATGGCTGATTATTTTGTGCTGGCTTTGTGCGTTTAGGAGCGAGGCACTGGAGGTTGGAGATCAGATTTTGGCGGTGAATGGAACTGGTACGAAGCACTTACGGCATCAGGATATCGTAGGACTGTTGCTTCATGCTGGCGCTCTGGTCAGCCTTGAGATAGAATACGAAACTTCGCCTGATGGTAAGAAGAATTTTTGAATCACATCGGCACTCTATATTGATAGCTGCACACTATCGTATCAGCTGTTGTTTCCAAAGCGTCTTCGCTTGTGTACATGTAGGTACCGCATGCAATGCAGGTTTTGCCTATTATCGGATACTAGTGCGGACACTAAGACATCCAGTTACTGTGTGCTTATCTGATACAGATCCATCAAATGAGAACAACCTGAGGAAGAAGACAGTATCAGTAACACTGAAGCGTGAAGGAGATGGATTTGGATTCAAGCTAAGAGGCAAGTGGCAAGCAAGCATGACGGTACCTGAGACTTGCAATACTGCTCCTTGTTATTGTACTTGCTGAGCGTCTTTGGAAGGCTGCCAATGATAACGCGCAGCAGCTATGGTCTCTGCCAAATGCAGAGTCGGCCGATTTGTGGCCAGCCGCTTTTACGACATCATGGCACAGGACATGAATGAAACACATAGCCGTATTTCTACATCAATACGATACTCGAAGAGGAACTCCGATACATGTAGATTTGACGCATGTTGCACCTAGGTTTGTAGAAAACTATTTTAGGATGCATTCACCCACTCTCACAGCACTAGTCTCACCGCTACTGAACTAACCTAACTTCTTGCATTCCTCTGCTCCGTGTGATGTAGGCGGTGAGGAGGAGGGACGAGGTCGGCTTCTGACGTTTGCCCATGTGCAGCCAGGTTCGGATGGATATGGGTACGTATAGGGAGTGTGGTGGGATATTGGCACCTCCTGCTCAACGTCCTGAACGGGTGAACAGTATTGGGCCAATACATATGTGGACAGCTTGCAGAAGTTGCTGTTGTTTGTGATTCTGCTAAGGTGCGAGAGACGTTCTTGATAATCACTAGCAATAGGTTGAGTTGAACTCGGATAACTAGGTCGCTGAACGTCTCAGTAGCCTGTCAGTTTTGTGCCCTATTTGTGCTCTCTTCTCTCAGCCCTGGTATAGCACGCACTGACCGCTTATTATCTTGCTACATTCGTGGATAATTGCTTCATATCTCGTTTCCATGTGTTTTCTTCTTCTATTTTATGATAGGTTAAGTCTAATAGTATGGCTGTCACGTCTATTACTTAGTAATGATGCATAACATGTGAGAATTAAGGAATATTTGACATTATTTAATTGAATCATTAAATAGAAATGCATCATCACATGGGTCATGGTCATTCTTCATAACTTACAGACACACTTCTATAGCATGGAGTAAGTATCATCTTAGCGTCGTGACTGTACTGATTATGCGATTGTTCTCCCATGTTGCCCGTTAGGCAAGGATTGATCAAGATCGGTGACCGGCTGCTGACCATCAATTACATCGACGTTACTCGGTACAGTGTGAGTGCGGCCATGGCTCTACTGAAGAAGTGCAAGTCGGAGGTCACCCTTGATGTACAGTATGATGTCACCATACAGGGTATGTGTATCATAGAAGAGTACACGTATTGATCTTGTTGGAGTTTGGACTGTCTGCCTGGTATGCTGTGATGTCGAGATACCATTGTGAACGCCAATGGTTTGCGTGTCAAGCATGGCTCCCCAAACTGGCCGCTTTAGGCTGCTTGGGATGTACTGAAAGGTGCGGGTATGCCTCTGTTTGCAATGTGCGGCTCTACCCCGAAGGATAAATACGTTAGCTATGCAGGGTTTTAGCCAGGAAAATATATTTAGGCGGGAAAGGGAAACAAACAGTTCACCCATTTTTCCATGTTCCAATACTACCTTGTCACAAACGAATGCAACGCCAGGTGCACAGAGCACCCAGAACGATCAATTTGTGGCCACACTTTCCCTGTGTGAACTCAAAAACACGAAAAATCGAAAATGAGTATGGTGGTGCGCTATCAGAAATGGGGGGGGGGGGAGGTTTTTGCCAGAACCCTGCTATACTATGTTTTAAACTATTACCCAGGAGCAAGCTGGGATGAGCTGCACTCCATGGAGAATTTACGACTCACTGCCTTTGTTTCTCTTTGTGTAGATGGCATCCAGGGCAGTAATCCGCTGGTCGTGGAACTGACAAAGTCCACTGGAGTTAGCCTGGGCATCACACTCAGTGGTAAGTGTATGAACTGCTAAGATTAAACCACCAGTCAGTGCTGGTTATAGGATGCAATGTGCCGGGTGTGTGCAACTATTCAGTGCATGTACCAGGTCTTATAATATCTACGGTTATGACTTCAGAAGCAAGCACTGCTGGTACCACAGTGTGTGCACTGGCTAGGTTGGAATGGTATCTGGGGGTTGATTTGCCAGCTTGACGTACATGAAGATATTCTCAGCAAGTGTTTGTATTCCGTTGTTTGTGACAGGGAGTCATCTGTCTGGAGATCCTATCTTCATATCACATGTGAGGGATGGTGGCATAGCTGATAGGTAAGATCAAGGTGACTCTATAGGGCCTGAAGTCTCTATAGGGTGTATAGTCTCTATAGGATCTATAGTCTGTAGTCTATCGGCTCTGTAAAATCTAGATAGGGTCTAGGCTGTTATGCATTATAAAGGATCTGTAGAGTCTATAGGGTCTATAGTCTCTATAAAGGGTCTATAGTCTATAGAGGGTCTATACTCTCTAATCTATATAGGGCCTATAGTCTGTACAGGGTCAATAGTCTATAGAGAGTCTATACTCTGTACAGGGTCTATAGTCTGTACAGGGTCTATAGTCTATATAAGGTGTATAGTCTGTATCGGGTTTGTAGCCTATATAATTATGGTCTATAGTTTGTATAGGGTCTACAATCTGTACATGGCTGTAGGTAGTGGCGAACTAGTATTTCCTCACAAACAAGCTGGTGTATTTGATGAAGGGCCTAACAGATATTTTTGCTAGCCGCTCTCCATGGGTTGCAGCATGGATGTGTAGTGTGGTTTCTGATGGCTGTGAATCTAATCCCATCGGTCATCATGTGTTCATGTTACCTGTCTATCTTAATGCAATGCCATGTATCACTTGGTTTGTATGGGAGACTATCTGGTTGAGCCCACTATCGCAACTTGGGACAACGGTCTAAGAGGCTAAGACGTTGTTCTGCCCTGCCGGCCTTTCAATGATCTACACAGATGTGGAGCGCTACATGCGGGCGATCGTCTTCTAGCTATCAACGGCCGCTCACTGGAGTCATGCTCACTGCCGGATGCTGTTCAGCTATTGCTCCAGTCTGGCAACACGGTCAGGCTAGAGGTCATACCGGGCAGCCAGGAGAATCTCAAGGCCATGGAAGAAGCGCTGGCGTCGGGTGGAATGAAGACTGCAGAGGAGCCGCTTCCACCTCCACCACTCGACCTGCTAGTGGATGACCGTAAGAGTATATAGATTAGGCCATGCTTGTCTTACTTTCTTCCCCGTCCAGTTAAATCTTTGCTCTTGGTGATCAATCCATCACCCCGATAATGTGCAGACCAAACACCCTCACCCCAATAGTGTGCAGACCAAACACCCTCACCCCAATAATGTGCAGACCAAACACCCTCACCCCAATAATGTGCAGACCAAACACCCTCACTCCAAGGTGACATTGATGTTTATGACTGTATGTATTGTGTGATCTCTCTTCTCTCAGCGATGGAACTTGCTGGGCTCAATCATCATTCTGGAATGAATGGTGTGGAGGGAACGCCAACTAGCGCCGGATACGGCAGTGGGTTGCTAGGCGATTCCATGGCAACCCCAACGGAGCCACTGGCCTACACTCCCGACAGCTCCATGATGAGTATCGCGTCAAGCACACTGCAGCAGCAGCCATTGCAGAACAACCGTGGTCACCATCAGTCTGTGTCATCGGTCACTACTCCCCGACGGCCATCAAAAGGTATAGAGAGGGGGAGAGAGAGAGAGAGAGAGAGAGAGAGAGAGAGAGAGAGAGAGAGAGACCAATTTCCATGCAGTGGTACTATGTAGCTAAAGGGGTAGATGGTATTTGTTCGAAATGTATGTAAACTGTATCATATCAATCCAGGCATGATGTGTGCCGTCATCTACGTGTAATTATGTGGTTTGCTGCCATCAAAACAAGAGAGTTGCCTTGATGATAGGGAGTTGTCGCAGTAGGAACAGCATTGCCACTTTTGATTATCCTACTTGCATACAGTAGTGTCCATGGGCACACCAGCACACCCAACGCTACAGCGCAAGATGACCAGTATGCTGATCTGCCGACAGGAAACTATGGAAGTGGAGCTGAAATCCGACTCGTATGGCTTTGGCTTTGCCCTGCAAAGTAAGATCCTGTACATTATGTAGTACAATTTAATGTTAACGTTTTGTGCCCCATTGGGCTGTTTATGGACAAAACAATGATGAGTTTAGAGAAGAGTGGAGTCGACAATAAGCAAGGTCACGTGCTGGGCAATGTGTTGCCAGCAAAACTTGACTTCGGTTCACCACAACCATCGGTACTGATACTGCACACGCATGACTCAACCTCGGTGGTTTCTGATGAGAGCAAAGCACAGCGGGGGCAGCTGGAGTCAGTCAGCATGCTGTTGTCGCTTGTGTGCTTGAATGCAGGCGTACATCAGGTGTACATGGACGGTACCTCATTCATGATCTCAAGCATGGAGGCAGACGGACCAGCAGATAGGTGAGTGATGCTCAAACAGTTGCAAAAACGGTGTAGGTATTGCTTAGGGCATTGACTGTCAATGATGTGAAGATAGTGTAGTAATGCATGATGTTGTACTATTGCTTTACCTGAGTTTCACTGCACTCACTGTACTATCTCAGGCTTTGTGTTCTGCAAATCGGAGACTCGGTGGTCAAGATCAACGGAACGTCCACTACTGGCATGACGGTCGAGCAGGCATGCGACATGATCAGACACAGCGGCGGTACTGTTGTGCTGACGGCGGAGTTTGATGTTGCCGGTAAGGTTTTTAAGAATACAGTGGAACACTCGTAGTGTGTACTCTGATCGGAGGAACTCATGCTTAGTACGGACATTATGGACCAAGGGGAGTAGTGATCATCCATACTGATCAGTGTGATAACCTCCTATAACAAGTACACTTTGCTGCCGCCCACGGGGAATACCTCCTAGTATAATTCTACAGTACAGACTGCACACAACACAGCCATGGCAATAGCATCCAAGGCATGGCAACAACTATGTACTCCTACTTCTACACCATCTGTGGGTATACTTCCGGGACGACGCTGCTGTTCTGGACACATCACTGTTCGGTGAAGTCTGCAACGTTGCACGTCTTCTTTTTTGGGCGTTTTGTTGTTGTTGTTGCAGAGGGTGTAGTGCCTAGTGCAGGACTGTTTGATGTAAAGCTGCTAAAACAAGGCCGCTCCCTTGGCATCACAATCAATGGAGGTAAGACGGATGGCAGTCGGTATAATGGACTAATGCCTTCTGGCTGCACTGTGACATGGCCTGAAAATCTTCTTCACAAAAATCAACAGTGACCTAAAGCCTTCCCATGTACTATCTCTGTAGATATGCTTAGTTTCTGCACATGTGTGCACAGGTCATTGCTTGATGTTAGGGTTGATGAGAAAGACTTAGTGCCATCCTGTTGGATTCCTTGTCATAAGTATACTCATCTCCCTCTCCCATCATTCTTCTTGTCCTCTCTCGCATCGTTGTTGTCGTTGTCCTCCTCTTCCTCCTCCTGCTCCTGCTCCTCCTCCTCCTCCTCATCATCATCATCATCATCCTCCTCCTATCCTCACTCTCCTCTTCCACTCATATTGTGCATGTATGTCCATTCAGGTATGGAAGATGGGATTGCCTCACAGTTGTGGGTATCGCAGGTCAAGAAAGGAGGAGTAGCCTACAGGTCAGTTCACAGGCACGAGCAGGCTATGCATGCTTGCACGCAGACACGAGCAGGCTATGCATGCTTGCTTGCACACCGACGAAAGCAGGCTTTGCATGCTCGCATACGCGATGTGCACTTGAACAATTCTGCACTCCGAGGACGTTTTGTTTTCTGACACCTTCACACTCATGCTTATCCCCGTGGACTATTGCTTATCCCCGTGGACTATTGCCTATTGCCGGTGGTTCTTTTGCAGTTAACTACATGTAGCTGAAACATCTTTTAAAATTGCTCTAGACCTTGAACACCGGCTTGTGGAAGTATGGATTAAAGTCATAACACACTGCACAGACAATCATAGTGCTTGTTTATGTTTTCCATACAGGTCGGGCATGCTGCAGGCAGGTGATTATCTGATAGCCGTCAATGGCAAGAGTGTTGACGGTCTGACACTGACCCAGGCTGCAGAGTTGCTGAAAACCGACGATGAGTTTGTGACACTGCAGATCAAGAAGGACCCGAGGATTGCTGGCAAGTTCTATCATACCTCTCTCAGTCGTTTGCCATGCTGTAGGAGGAGGGGGGGGGGGGGTCCTCAGTCTATCTGTCCACGTATCAATATGAGGATCCAGGCTGATATCTGCCTTACTATTAGCTTTAGAGTGTACTCACTTTGTTTTGACATGCATGCAACATCATGTAGTGATATGTCACGTGTCAAGCGAATTGACGTCCTGCCATGTTCTGCTTCTCAGGCAGCACTTGATGTGCCACTGTGCCACTGTGTGCGGTGTGCAATCATGGTGTACATGTGTCTTGGGACATTCGGTCAGTGTAATCCGTTGTACTGGTATTGCTGCATTCTCCTACAGGCTCCAGTGACTCTGTAGTACTCACGGTGGAGATCAGTCGACATGGTGAGAACCTGGGAATCACACTGAATGGTAAGAATACACAAAATCGACGTTTAAAGCCTTGCCTGTGTACTTGCTAGGTCTGCACTCGGATTCATGTTTGAATAATCTAAGGAAGGGTATTCATACTGTGCCCTTTTGTGCTAAAGGGCACCTGATCGTGATGTGTTCCTCTGATTGCCTAGTGCACATACACTGTTCAGACCGAGGACACCCTGGATGCGAATAACGTTAGGTCACAGGAGATCTAGCGTTTGTCTTCTTTCTTCTCTGTAACCAATACCACAAGCAACCGAATACATGTACAATGTTTCTTCTACATCAAGTTTACCCGGCACAACATACAAGTATATGAAGTATCTTCCTTTGCATGATGACCCTACATACAACGCCAAGAAAGGGAACTTCTCCATAGCGTTATCATCACAACAAAAAGTAACTTTGTAGCGTTATCAAGTTATCATTTATTTAGTAATGCCAAAGCTAAACCTCTTTTCTTTCTCTTGTTCGCAGGATCCAACATTGCAGGAGAGCCTATCTACGTGGCCCGTGTTAAAGAAGACGGAGTGGCATACAAGTAAGCTTACATTCCTTATTCAGACCGGGACTGACATTCTCCCGGTCTGGTGGTTGCAAGCTGATATCTCAGTGTCTAACCTTTCCCATTGCATAAGTTGTTGTTCATGTTAGCAAGAATTGGTAAGAAGGAGCTAAGCATGTGTCTGCAACATTATTCGTTGTATCTTGAACGCCACTTCGCTTATCACGTATTAATGTATCTGTGATCGGCTGTGTTACTGTTCTGTACCACCTAAGGACCGGTGCACTGCTTGAAGGTGACGTGCTTCTCAGTATCAACGGTCACAGTCTCCGCGACAGCAATTTGGAAGAAACGGTTGACTTGTTGCTGAAAGCAGGCGACAACATCACGTTCAGGATTAGCCGAGCGGCCAAGAGTAAGCATGAAACAGCTGAATGTATATAGCGATGGGTCGATTAGACCAGCTTCTCATGAGAAGTTCCCCTTAGGTTTTTGTTCCTCCTGATAAGTAACGTACGTGCATGTATGACTCTGACTCCAAATGTCTGGTGACTTTACCTCACCGACCCCATGTTTGTATTGGTGGTAGTCAAGTGAATGTGTTGTTTTCACTCACAAAGCAACTGTTCAGTACATGGGGTAGTGGTCTACCAGAGCAATCACACTCATCACCGTAGTGGTTTTCCAGAAATGAGTAGAAGCAAAAAACCACACTCGCAGCCACATAATAGATAAATAGCCGAAAAACATCTAAATCCATCAAAGAACCGCCAGCAAGCGGGAGAAAAGGCCGTAAAATCGAGTGAAACAGCATGGCCAGTGGTGAGCATGGGTGACTGGGCAGCAGGAGAGCGCCTGAAAACAATGACTCCCTACATTCCTAGCCACGACCGCTCAACCGGGCTAGAGGAAAAACACGCCTTTCGGCCAAAAAACCTTTCTATTTCATTAATTCCTGCCCCGCTGCCAGTCGGATCCAAGAATAGAGACAGCAAGAAATGGTATGTAATAACCAGTGTATGTCATAATCATAAGCAACACACATTGGCATAGAATATCAAGAAGAACAGCGGAAGACCCCCATGAAACCAGGGTGGGTGGGCGGGCAACTTCAACTACCATGAGGAAAAACAAAGACCACAATGGCAGGTTCAGCGGAGTTGCGCAGAACAAGAGCAAACGCATGAAAATATTTGCGAGTGAAAAATACGTTTTTTGCACTCTTTTGCTACGCTCAGCCGTGAAAAAAACAAAACTTTTTTCACGGCTGAGCGTAGCGAAAGAGTGTAAAAAACGTATTTTTCACTCACCATTTTTCTGTCGTGCACTGCTGCTCTTCCACTGCGCAACTCTCCCCCACCTGCCATCGTGGTCTTGTATTCCTTGTGTAGCGTGGAGTTTTCCCGCCCTCCCTCCCTTGGGTTCCGTACGTTTTTGGGCTTCTATGGGGTGCTGTTTTACTGGTTTTCCATGGCATGCTTTGTTTTTTGTGTTTCTGTCCCGAGGGTCTCGGCGTTTTGTTTGTTTGTATGATTACTCCTTTCTGCTTGTTTATCTTCAGTTTTTTGGGTGTGACTGGCAGTGGGGCAGGTCCCATATTAGTAGAAGGGTTTATTGGCCGCAAGGCGAGTTTTTCCCCCAGCCCGGTTGAGCGGTCGTGGCTGGAAATTTAGGGAGTCAGATTTTCAGGCGCACCCCCCCCCCCCCCCTGCCCAGTCACCCACACCATGACATTGCTCTGCTCGTGTCTTGCACTGACATATCTCTTGCTGGCCGCCTTGCTCTTTATTACTTCTGGCCCAGTTTTTGGCTAGTGTGTGGCTGCGAGTGTGGTGTTACGGAATACTGAGTACATTCTGTGAGTACATTCTGGTAGACCACTATCCCATGTACAACCCGGTTGCTATGTGAGTGAAAAGTTATATGGATCGCTGACCACACTTTCTAGGACGCAGATGTTGAGCAGGTTTCTATCCATGCCGGGGAAATCTGCAAAATCTGCAAAACCTCCTCAGGAGGTGAATTGGTCAGGTGTCAAGCGCTTACAGCCGGGTGACAAGTTAAATCTGGAGTTGTGCGGGGTCAGAGTAGTGGACACAGCAGAGTTGTGCTTACTCCACCAGGCCAGTATCTGTGGGTCTGGGGCTGCGCCATCCCGGGCCTGTTCAAACTCACGGGGGAACGCTATACTTGCCACCAACGAATAAGGTTTTACACGGAGCAGTACCGGGAGGCCAGCACCCGACAATAATGTTAATGTGTGATGCTGTGATTCGTTTCAGAGCCACTCTCATCTTCCGATGCTGCTGAAGCCAACTTGGAGGTGTTCAACATCACCAGTAGCTCGCCTTCTAAGCCACCTTCACGGCGACCATCGAAACAGTCGTCGTTCACCGACTCCCAGTGGTCACCTGAGGATAAGGTGTTCTACAGTGATAACACGTCCGCTGCGGCTGCAGCCGTCTCAGCGGCGCGCGGCGGTCCGGCAAACACGGAGCAGAACAACGGCGACGTCCGGAGCGAGAACAGCATCTCGCCGTTCAGCATCCGCACGCTAGGTGACACGCCCACACCCACTCATCACCGCAGCAAGACACCGCAGCAAGCTGCACAGCCGGATAGCTCGGCCATCTTTCAGGAGGCCAAACGACTGCAGGAGCAATGGCAGGGGACGGGCTCCGGGTCGAATCACAGCAGATACACTGCAGCTCCGCAACGCAATGGTTTTCACAATGCACACATGAAGCTGTCCAGGTCCATTGAACACATAGAGCATCCTACCTACCAGCCATTTGAAAATGGTGACCAGCATCGCCGCCCTGTCGTCAGCGAGCACGCTAAAACCCGATATGACCAGCAATCGCCACAGGCTGCCACTTATGCTAAAGTTTCTAAGCCACCGGTGCAGCTGCCGCCATCAAGCAGTCAGCGATCACGGATCCTGACCGACCCGTCCGCTGCGCAAAGCCCGTACTCGCGCTATCTGCGGAATCGACCGCAGCAAGCCCGTAGCCTGACTGGCCTGAACTCATACGAGGAGTTTGGCCGACATCACCCGCAAGCCGGTAGCAC